CAAATCCTCCGAAAAGAAGTCCCTCCAAGAACTCAAAGAGAAGCTCGCCGCCTCGGACTCCTCCTCCGCCGCCATGTGGGGCATTCCCCTTCTGGGAAACGACGAAAAGGCCGACGTCGTCCTCCTTAAGTTCCTCCGCGCCAGGGACTTCCACGTCCCCGACACTTTCACCATGCTAACCAAATGCCTGGCGTGGCGGAAGGAGTTCGGCACCGACGGCGTCGTGGAGGAGGACTTGGGGTTCAAGGAGCTGGAGGGGGTGGTGGCGTACATGCACGGATTCGACAAACAGGGGCACCCTGTTTGCTACAACGCCTATGGAGTTTTTAAAGATAAGGAAATGTATGAGAGGATTTTCGGGGACGATGAGAAGCTGAAGAAGTTTCTGAGGTGGAGAGTGCAGGTTCTTGAGAGGGGGATCAATGCCCTGCACTTTAAGCCAGGTGGGATCAATTCGCTAATTCAGGTCACTGATCTGAAGGACATGCCTAAAAGGGAGCTCAGGGTTGCTTCCAACCAGATCCTCTCTCTGTTTCAGGACAACTATCCTGAAATGGTTGCAAGAAAGGTAATTTGATTAATGTCTTAATTGTTTTCTACTGGGTTTTTTATTTGGCTTAGTGGACTGTAATTTTGGAGGTAATTCTCAAGTTTACTTGCTAACTTAATTGTTCAAAATTTTAATTAATTTTTTTTGGGGTTTTGGTTTGATTTACTGGGATGTAATTTTTTGAGGTAATTCTGATGTGGGTTTTACTTGCTTCCTCAATTGATGTAACAAAATTTTAATTGATTTCTTGTGTGTTTGTAGTTTGATCTATTGGGATGTATGTAATTCTGATGTGGGTTTTCGATTTGGATTGGACTGTAGTTTTTGAGCTAATTGGGGGGTTTTCTTCCAGATTTTCATCAATGTGCCGTGGTACTTCAGTGTTTTGTATTCTATGTTCAGCCCATTTCTGACTCAGAGAACAAAGAGCAAGTTTGTGATGGCCAAGGAAGGAAATGTTGCAGAAACACTATACAAGTGAGTCCCCTTGTCATCGAACCCTTATCTGCGAAGGTGTTATTGTTTCTGAACCGGTTTTTTATTCCTTCGCCAGTTTTCCATTTGTGTTTGGGGTTTTGAAACAGTTTCTTCTCTTCTGTACCCTGTACAATTAGTGGCTACTCACTAGAAATAGGTGTTTGTTGTTCTGAAACAGGTTCATAAGGCCCGAGGATGTTCCGGTTCAGTACGGAGGCCTGAGTCGACCGAGTGATGAGCAAAACGGCCCCCACAAACCGGCTTCCGAGTTCACTGTCAAAGGAGGAGAGAAAGTGAACATACAGATTGAGGGGATTGAGGTTCATAAATCTTCTGCATTATTGTTACAACCCTTCATTTTAAGCTCTATAAATTAGCGGTATAAATGCGATTAATGTTTGTTAATTTTTCGTATGTTGGTGTTGAAATTGATTAGGCTGATGCAACAATCACATGGGACATAGTAGTGGGAGGGTGGGACTTGGAGTACACTGCAGAGTTCGTGCCTAGTGCAGAAGGCAGCTACACTATCCAAGTGGACAAGCCAAGAAAAGTGATGCCCTCTGAAGAAGCAATCCACAGCTCCTTTACTCCTAGTGAAGCAGGCAAGATGGTTTTCTCAGTTGACAACTCTGCCTCCCGCCGGAAAAAAGTAGCTGCCTATCGCTACATTGTCTGCAAATCTGCTCCCGTCTAGAGCCAACTTCACAACTAGGAGGGGGCATAATTTGTTATAAACTCGTAGTAAGGTTTTTGCTTTTGCATTTTGCTTTCTATGTCCTTTTTCGAGGGGTTTAGGTTGTGAACCCTGTTTTTAGTCTGCTTGAGAGTACTAGTAGTGTAATCTATAAAAAGGATGGCATGATATATATCGTTTAATATAGAGGAAAACATATCTATTGACTTTGGTTTGATACCACTCTCATTTCTTATTAGTGCGTTTGGGCGAGTGGCTTTAAGTTCCGCGGAACTTGAGAGCTAAATTCGCCGCAGCTAGAACTGAATGCGGGAAGTATGGAAAAACATCTTGTAATGTATTCAACCAGAAAATAGGTGGTAGCTCTGTATATCTTTTATTTTTATTTTAATTTTTATGACGGTATCATTCCCAGATCGATCATGCAACAACTATTGCTTTATTTCATAGGAATCTCCAGTCACCTTTCTTTTTATTTTTCTGGCCAATCAGTCTTTGTAACTTTTAGTTACAAGCGATCAAGAAGATCCTATCCAAAAGGTTGAGTCGACTTTTTACTGTCAAGTTTTAAAGAAATCTTTTGGGACCAAATACGAGCTGATTTGATCGGTCGAAAGAGAGATTTTCTCTGCAGTTTGAATTCGAACTGCAAAGATTATGATAGTAAGGAGTCGGCTCAGCCTTTTCTAGCCTTTCCAAAAGCCTGAGTCGACTTCTTACCATCATAATCTCTAAAGAGCCACTAAAATAACTAGATAGAGTTACTTAAAATTGCCTATATGCAAATTATTGGAGAGAACTTTCAAATGAAAGATTGATAGGTGTCTTCTTGGAAGTCCTTTATTTAGTGTGTTTGCGGTGCGTTTGTAATGTTCGAGTTGCGGCTTTCTAGGCCTTGAGTTGGTAATGCTCTTGTATATTTTAAAAAACCGAGTCAAAAGTTTCATGAGAACTTTAAAGTCGTTCATTCAAACACAGCATTAAGTTTGTCTACCTGCATCGAAGAAGATAGCATTTTTTTTGGGGTCTTTGGGTAATGGTAAGGAGGAGGAGAGATTCTTAAATATAACTTGAAAGTTATCTCAAAGGCAATAAAAATGTGTAAACGCAAATACATCTGAGAGAACTTTCAAATGATGCATTGAAAAATTGTGTGATGAGAGAAATAGAAAGATGACTTTTCACTTACATCCAAGTTTTTCTTGGAAGGAAGAGCTTTTGCTGGTGTGCAGCTGGTTGATTTGCCTAATGGCTCCAAATAATAGTCACTGCTGAATTATCATATATGTCTGGAAAGCTTGAAACTTGAAAGAGACGGATTAATGGTGACAATATTTGCTCTGATTTGCTGTCGCTTGTTGTACAAGATATGGGCGGAGGAGGAGTGTTGGGACTAACAAAAGATAGCAGAAGTGGGGATGATAGATATTGATCACACTCTGGGGGCCCCTGGGTTTGTTGCCTGGGCCTCTAGAATCTGCATTGGGTTTTCGGAGGTTTGCCAAGGAAAATTATATCTTTCGAGTTAAGAGATAAATAAACATATATATCTTATTGCACTGATTGAGAGCGTTCGTAGTGATTGAGTAATATATTATCATGTAAATATGTTTAGATTCACAATCTAATAAGAAAACATTTCGACATATGTAAATATAAGCTGATGGTGATCAAGTTCATCAACTAATAGTCCTTGTAAAGAAAGGGTAATGGTAATGCTAAATAATATTTTCTAAATTACAAAATTGTAAGATACAATAACAGAAGAATGTGTCTATGTATTTCTCTATTAATAGGTGTAGTCGTCTTACTATCTCACAACAAAAAAAATACTTATGTTGTCAAACTAGAATTGTGTTCGCAATCGAGAAGGCGATAACAAGCACAAAAACATTCGAACTAGAAACTTGGCTGAATCCATACATGTGGTGATTCCAAATAAGGAACCGAGCAGAGGTACTGGATGGTTATATCTTTCAAATTGGTATATATAGCTCTAAACTTGGCACCCGTCACCACTACAATTCGAAAGTACATACAATTGGCTTGAATTGAGAGCAGTCCTACACTTCAATAGAGAACGAAGAACTATTGAATCTCAAGAACATGGTATTATTCCCTAAGTTTTTTACCCTTCTAATGTACAAGATTTTAAGATAAGACAACCAATTTGACGAAAGAAAATGTCTTATATATTCTTCCGCTGTCAGACTATTGAAACAACGTATGCTTATGTTGTTAAACTATATTCACGTTGACAATCTGATGAGGATATAAGGATACATACCAACAAGAAAAAAGAAAACCACTACTAGCAACAAAAGGGCAAAGCATGACTCCCGAAAAACACAACAAATCACCAAAAAAAAAAATAAAAAATCAATATATCATCATCTACTAGAGGTTATTATCCCAAATTTTTAGTAGTGGTCAAGCAATATAAGGAAGCGTGTTCTAATGCTTATAACTACATTCATGGATCACTACTAAAAATTTGGGTCAAAGGTCACAAATTCATTCGCTATAATATGCTTATCATCCTAAATTTTTAGTAGTGATCCTTGAATATGGTTAATAAGTATTAGAACACGCTTCCTTATATTGTTTGATTTTTACATCTTCCATACTGAGGTCTCAGCACGACAATGATTAGTACGTCATTTTGTAGTAGATGCGATTGGCTTCACATCCAAGTTGTTTACCTCAGCGTTTGAAATTCTGTAAGATATCACCACCATGGCATTGGCACCTTGAAAACCCAACACCTTCGTCGCCGAACACTCCAGGTTTCACCTAGGAACAATCTCTGTCTCCTGATCTCCAAAATCTTAACATCGAACGTAAATTAAAAGCCAGGACTACGTAATCAGACGTCCAAGATGGGCTTGATGATAAGACACATTTGTTTAATGGTAGTCGAATACATCACAATTAATATGTGGAAGTTTAATTTGTGCACGGCTTAAAGGATGCAACAGAATAGTTCCTGTTTCTTTATCCAGTTTTGATAAAGTCAGCAACCATCCAAGGGAAGAACTAAAACGCATGCTCTGATCGACTTCTGGGAGACAAGGTTCGTAACATAAGCAGTGGAAAGTGCCTCGATCAACTGGTAAAGTTGTTTTTCTTCGCGAATGATCTCCTACTCGTGGCTAGCTAGGTTTTTGTTTCTTGGGTAGGATTTTTATTTGGGTATTTCAATTTTCAATCCACATGTTTATCTGGGTAAATAACACCAAACGAGGTGTGACCGTCGCACCAAACAAAGCTTCAAGGTAGAAGCCAACTTCGTATATTTCATATATTTTATATATCAGTATTCCTCGTTGAAATTGCACTTCTAACTTCATGGTTAGACAAATATCTACATGTACTCTTTTCTCCTAGCCAATTCTACAAGCAGAATTTGTGGCTGCACTGTTTCTTTCGAATTTGGCAGGAAGCTGAAATTGCACCTTCCGAGAGATGTTTGATGAATATTGTTGGTTGCTGATCCTTAACCACGGTCGCAAATTGCTCGATTTAAGGCCTCGTCACGGAAGCTAATTAATCAATGAGCTTCAACCTCTTCGTAATCCTTTGATGTTTTCCTCCGACTCAAACCATTAGAAAATTGAGGAAGCTTCAACATGGTATTTACTCTGTCAACACCTTTAATGGCATTCCACTCTTCCTTTGCGTCTTGTGAGACATTACAGTTCAACACGGTATCCTTCTCATCCTCCATCATCTTGCTGTTGATCTCGGATGCAGGGCCTCCCTGATCGCTTGCAACATTCGATCTTTTGCTATAGTAAGAAAGGGAAAGCTCAGAGTCATTTCCTTTGCCTACACGGCTCGCATGGGAATCGGATTGTGTTAATGAAGAAGCCGGTTGGTCCTTCAGGAACAAGCATATAACTGCACAATCATCAATTTTCGATTGGGGGAACTTTCGTTTCCATGCTCTAACTGCACGCTTTACTAGTAATTCTGCTGCCATGGATCGCTTCCTTGCTGATGCAACTATCTTTACCACATCACTGTTTGTTAAAGCATCCCAAATCTGCGCAATGCACAACATCAATATCTTAATGCAGCTCGATACTGTTAAGAGTCGCCAAATATATTCGACTTAAATGAAACTCTATCACATTACTCCGTAATTAAATTTCATGACTGTGTAGACCAAAAAATGAGTTTTATGAAGCAAAACACCAAACCCATTGGAGAAAAAAAATCAAACACTAAGAGAAGAACTGAACCCTACAAAGCAAAAGAACATAACCGTATGAAGCTAAAAACTAAACCCTACGAAATAAAAAACCGATCCCTACGAAGCAAAATCCAGACCCAATGAAGCAAAAAAAGGAACCCTATGAAGCGAAAAACAAATCCTTAATTGAAGGGATATTAAGAACTAGAGGGAAGCTTATGAGTAAAACCAAATTTTTTCTGCACTCGCTTCCCAAATAGTAATTAGAATATTAGTAAAACATTTTTTTTTTTGTTTTCTTACCCCATCAGTTGCCAAGACCACAAATTCATCATCACTTGATATCTTCCTGTAGAAAACTTCCGGACTTGAGGTTAGACCGTAATCTTTGACACAGAAATCCCCGAAAGCTCTTGCCATTGCAAGACCAGGGCAGTCTTCATCCGGCATCCATAATCTAAACACTTGTGGTTCTCCCTCCACTGATAAAATCCTGCCTTTGCATTTCATAATTCTCTCAGCTTCACCTAAGTTTCACCAGTTGGAAAAAGTACAAGAAAATCAATCAGGCCCAATAACTTGATCGTCATCATCATACAATTCTTAAGGAAAATATTAAGTGAAGTGGCTTCCGCACTCCTCTTTCTCCGCTTGTACACCCCTCTTCCTTTATGACCTTTGGATTATTGAATAATTCAAAAGAGAACCAAAGGAACGGAAATATACAGAAGTGAGGAGAAGGAGAGAAAGTTGTGCGGAATCCGTTTCCAAAAATTTGGAGCAGAAGTACTAAACATACTTGGAGTATCAGGTTTCAAATCAACTGTGAGCTGGACAGGAACGATTTGGTTTTTCTCTCCTGATCTAGTTCCAAGAACTGCACGAGAATCGCCTAAGTTGGCAATCACCAAATGATCACCCTGAAAACCAAACAGCACAAAATTAGAACAAACATCAAATTTTATTGAATTCCTATCTCTAAAATTTGATTGCAAATAAACATTGTACCTGTTTAACTACAGTTACAGCTGTTGAACCACTGCAGAAGCTATCAATGGTGTTATCAAGGCTAAGTTCTTCATCCATTTCCTTGAATGATTTAACGAAACTGGCTTCCCATGACGGAAGAGAGAGATCGCTACTGGCTTTCCTATCGTGACTTTTACGGTTGTTTGCATTGAGCTCGCTTCCGGCAACATTGATGTCGCTGAATATGCCGGTGTTGAGCTGGTAAATTTTGATGACTTCGGAGAGCTTTGAGGGTAAATTGTCACGTACGCATCTTGCAACTTTGTGACCGTCGGGGCCATGACCATCAAACACACCGCAGAAGTGCATGCCTTTCTCAGTAAAGTCCTACAAAATTCAATGACATAAAATAATATATCAAGGGAAAGGACCAAAGGGTTTCTGTAGGCTGAAGTCCACATTGAAGAATTCATGGATATAATAGCAATTGAACATGATAAAGAAACTTGGAAATCGGAAAGAACAAGTTTTGCTAGGGGTTCAAGAAGATTTGACATACATTGTGAAGAAACAAAATAAACGTAAACATTATTGGCATGTTTACTTACTTGGAATGAGCAGGTTTTGGTATCAAGAAAATCATGAATATAGAGGGAGAAGGGAATTGAACGAAACAACTACCCTCTCCCAAATTAATCGATCAAATTCCTAGTTTTTTCATGTGTTAGATAACATATTATAATGTGGAGCCACACATTTTTTGAGTTTCGTATAAATACAATCAAAGTTAGGAATCAGAATGATTCCAAGTCAAAATAATTAATATTCGTTCTAAGTAATTAAATATACCAATGTACATCGTAAGATTAGAAAACATAGCAGAAATTAATCACCACAAATGAAAAAAAAAAAAAAAAAAACACCAACAAATTGAAAAGAGACAAATTGACTAATCGTACCTCCCAAACTGTCATTGCATCTTGATTGATCCCTTTTCTTCCTTGCTGGGTGTACATGGATACGTTCCTAGAACACCCTTCCAACCTTATGCGTGCCCCATCGTCCCCACACCTTACACTATCCTCTTCCTTATCAGCCTCGGAATACTCATTCCGATTGGCCATACGATCATCCTCCATGTACCCTCCTCCATGCAATTTCTCCTTGCTACAACAAGCTCCCATGTCTCTCTAGAAATTAAACCAAACCTCCCACAAACGAAAAGGACCCACCAAAAACCGATCCACACCCAAAAGACAAAAGTGGGTGAAGAGGCAAAGGAGGGGAAGAGAATTGAAAGGTGATGGTGGTTTTAGGGACTTTTGTATCTGTGGGAAAATTGAAATTGATTGATATATTTCTGAAAAGACGAAATGTAAATCGTCGATATTGGAATAAGCATGCAACGAGTCAATCACGATTTCAGGGTCGTTCGGTTGAGGAGCATGAAGAGCACAACACACAAAATTTTAAGAATTTTAAAATGTCGTGTGTTGTTGTTGGAGGTTTTGCATATTGTGGAGGAGGGTGTTATGTTCTCTGAAATCTGGACGTGCTAATCTCAAGAAATTGTTACACAAAAATCACACTAACACCCTTTTTCTTTGCTAACTAAATTTTGCATCTCCCAAATGTCTTTAGCTAATCAAAGTACATAAACCATAATTAGGTAGAAAATCTTCCCTATATCGTAGTTGGTCAACTAATTAAATCCTATTTAAGGTGCATGCACAATAATATTTAGATTTGTATGTGTTTTAGTCAAAGAAGAACGTATTGCATTGCAATCACAAATTCGTAAGATTCAAATATTTTGCTTGGATTTAGAACTAAAAGTGATCCGATTATCTTAACAAATCTTTTTACCAGCCATTAGATGAAAATCCGATGGTTATAGTCCATTCCCCTAACATTTTAGAGTAGATTTTTGTTTAACTAATCAAAACTAAATTCGTTTTATTTTGGTGGTAAACTGCAAGAAATCTTCCTTTTTAATCACGCGTGCAACGCTCCATTCATCTCGTAGCATTACAACAGTATAAAATTGGGATTAAACAGATTGTTCCTTGACTTAGTCAATCAGATGGTTCGAACCATATAATAATTAGTTTAGCTTACGACCATCCTATTCAAAAGATATTCGTAAATGTAACAAATCTGTAGTTATATACTTGATTAGCAACAAACACTATATCATGTAAATGTTTAGTCTTCACAACTCTAGTAGTACGTATCTCGACTTACAAGTGTGTCTCATTTTCTTTGTCGGGACTAAAGGGGCTCGAGCCAACATCTTCCGCCTTGACAAGACGGTGCGAAGGAACTTCCTAGCTTCACACGACCAACTGATTAGACTTCCTCTTGTAACAAGTACAATCCATTTTTAACCTTGCCAAAGCCGTCATGGCCCAATCATGTATAGTTTGTACCAAGGGTGAAACTCACCATTAAAATATGCGTTTGGGTCATAACCATTAAATATGGGAATATTTTTCTTCACCACCTTTAAGTAATGGTGATGCTTACCTTCCATTGATTGTCGTTAGATGAGTTTAAATCTCAAGATCTGTGTAATGAATAGATACAAATTTCAAAATTTAAACTCATCCAATGATTATAAATATAATGGTGAGCGAAACTCTATCCTGATGAGTCACTTGTCTTAAAATTCAGGACAACGTGGGCTGGTTATTTGGCAGGCTCACAACTCTATCCTGATGAAGCAAAACATGTGCTGAATTCCCAATTCCATGTGCACTACCATTTCAGAAACAAATTGCTGGCAATTGCAAAATTGAACAAAAAATTATCAATCTCAAGTCGATGACTCAATGATTGGTTGAAATAAGTAAATATCTGGTCTGATCAAACTTCCTATTTTAAGGTTCAATTTCTAGTCCTTCGTGGGAAAACAATTTATATGAAATAAATTTATCGTCACTTAAAATCATACGTTAATATATTAGACTAGAATGTCACAAAAGTAACGTATCCATTACATATATATCATTCTCCCTCTTGCAACCAAGCAGTACCATGCATTTAGAAGCTTTGGTAGTTAGAGAGGACCTCATGTTGGCTGTTAACAGGGGTTATTAAAACCTTATTCCCGCAAGCGATTCTCACCAAATTGTCTTAGTTTTGCAAGAGCAATCCCTCAACCTCTCGCTGGTTGGCCCTACTGTTGAGGATGCAAAGGCTTTGCTAGACCGGATCAATGGAGCTTTCACCACCCATATCCACCGCCAAGCGAATGAAGCAGCGCACCGCCTTCTCAACTCATCACTTCTTTATAATGATTTTCGTTCTTGGTTTGGATTCAATACATCACTTCTTTATAATGATTTTCGTTCTTGATTTGACGAACCTCCTCATCTCTTAATAGATTTTTTATATAGCAGACGAAGACGATCAGATGCAGACGATCTTTCTTTCGTCTTCTCGTCTTTGTCTTAATCTCCCATCTAGCACTAGAACTGGGCGCATCTGACGAGCAAGGAGCCCTCTTCCGCATCAAACAAAGAAAGGGAAGGAAAATCAACAGTCCCAGAGCCTATTCTTTCAAAGATGAGGAGGGTCTCTCTTTTGCGTGACTCGTCTCTTTCATGCATTCCAAAAGAAAAAAAAATTGTGGGATGACACCTATTACCTATAGCGACATTTCACAATTCCAAAAGGAGCCGCAAACTCCATGGATTTATCCTAGTGGTGGATTCGCTATTCCATTTTCATACTCTCTTCATGTCCTCCTGTTTGTATGGTTACAGTTAAACCATATCAACATTTTATATTCCTGTTACTTTTTGTTTTATTATTTCTTTAAAAGATTAATATAAAATATTAACGTGACTTAACTATGATCACACATCACATAAGAGCATAAAGGAAATATGGAAATTGAAGAGCAGACAATCCACTTCCTTCTATCCCTTTGTCTGTCAAGAGGTCCTATTGTAATGATTCTGTTTCCAAATACTTTGAAACTTAACAAACAAATTATTTACTTTTTAAAAAGGAAACAAATATCATTTAGTAATTGACTTTTATGGTCCACAATACTTTACGCTTTGAATCATCTCAAAACCAATTTGCAAACTTTCATAAAATTACCCAAAAATGCTTTTGAGACGTTATCACATCTTCTGTCCAACCATTTTCAGAGTAAAATTTTGTTCCCTCTTATCTACGTTCTCTTTCTTTTCATTTTCTCACATTTTACCTTTTGTCTCATTATTTTTATAAAAAAATCAAGGATTAAATGTCAAAATGATCTATGTATTTTAATCATAGGATCAATTTAGTCATGTGTTTTCAATTTGGCCAATTTGATCCTTGTGTTTATCTCTGTTAGCCAATTAAAAACATTTTCATGCAATTTTTGTAAAACAAAAAATAAATTATAAACTTATAAACTTATAATTTATTTGATTTAAAATATTTAAAGTGAAATAAAAAAAAATTTAAAAAAAAAATTATTCTCCTCCTAACTCTCTGACCTCTTCTCTAACATTATCCCTTCTCTTTTCTATGTCACAACTCTAATCATTTTTCAGATTGAAAGTTTTATTTCTTATAAGTATTATTTCTCATTGATCCGTATTTTTCTGTAAAGAGAAAGCGTAATTATTTCTCATATGATTTTTCTTATGAATTTTTTAAAAGAGATTGAATAAAATGTCCTTAATTGACTAACAGAGACAAACACAATAACTAAATTAGCCAAATAAAAAACATGGGAACCAAATTGACCATATGGCTATAAAATAAGGACCATTTTGACATTTAAGCCAAAAATCAATTAGATATTGACGTGATTTAATCATAATAGTTCAAAAATGAGTGAGAGGAAAAAGAGAATAGGAGAGGAGAAAATTCTCCTCCACCATTTTTAGGGAGCCGAATGAACTTTCCTGCAATGTAGACGATAGCGTGACGGTATCTCAAGGTAATTACTCCTCACAACACTGAAAAGTTGAGATGCAATAGTTCCCTAAGGCACTATTCCAAACCAATCATGCACCGTGCCGGAAAGTTAAAATGCAGTAGTAGCAGAGTGCCAACTAAATCAATACAAGAAAATGAAATCTTCATTTAAAAAAAAAAAAATTATTTCAGCTGCAATTCTAAAAACAAACGAATTCTAAAGTTATTCCTTTTTCCTTTGCAAAACAAAATTACAAAAAAGAAAGAAAAAGCCTGCTAGAATCAAAGAACCTGCAACAATGTTACCACCATTGATGAACAAGAACTCCACTTTGTCTCAGTGAAGCAAACAGGTCCAAACACTGACCGTAACTCTTCTCATACTTCGAACTCCTCTCGCCGGGGCAACACCTCTGCCACCGATTGTAATGGCACTCGAGAAAAACCTCGTCGATCAAACAGATTGCCCCTGTCTCGAAAAGCCTCGGAATCAAATCAAATTCCGTCCCTTCCACATCCATCTTCATCACCACAAAATCCTTTTCCGAAAAGGTGTTCTTCAACCAATTTGCGAAATCAAACCCCTGAATCCGATCCACCTCTCCGTTAAACCCGCCATTGGATGGATTCGCCGGCTGGATCCTCCCCATTCCTCTGCCTTTATCCTTCACCTTCTCACCCGGGTCGCCATTGATCTCGAAGGACAATGTCTCGTTCCTCACCCAAGCTGCGTAAGGCAGCAATGTGACCCCCTTCTTCAACTTGTACTGGTCATGAAAAGTCTTATCGGCTTCAATGGCGAAAACTTCGAAAGTCTTGTTCTGTTTCGGGTACTGCTTCTTGAACCAGCTGCCAATGCTGGAGCCATAGCTCCGAGCTCCGACATCCACGTAAGCATACCGCTTCTTGAAGCTTATATCCGCCATTGTTGGGAGGTACTTCACGTTCTGTATGTTCTTCTTCAGAGTAATCCACGGCTTCAACGGCTCTATTTCAATCAAAGGCTCGGCCTTTCTGATGAGCTCCATCTTATGCCCAGGAACTGAGCACTTATTACCAGCACTGCCACCAGGGTTCTCGACCCTGTGACCGAAACCCTCACTCTCGCCGCAATCCTTCCTCAAAACCATCTCGCGAATCTTCGGCATCGATGAATCGAAGCCGTCGATGTCGCGCGAAGTCACGAGCTTGCTGCAATTGAACAATTCAATAAACGAATGGAAGCTGTAAGTGTCTCTAGCGCCGACGTGGACCACCGCAAACCCTTCGGGCTTCAGCGTCCGCACGATCTCAGCGGCGAAATCCGCCGGCTTTGGTGACTTCTCGAGCCGTCCGCCGGCGGAGAAAACAAAGTCAAAGCTGTTGTCAGCGAACGGCAAACGGTGCGCTTCGCCGGGAATTACCAAAGGCCTCGACGCTTTCTTGAAAACACCGACCGCGCCCTTGACGCCGGACTCTCTCAGGGCGTAGACGTCGTGCCCGGCGGGGGTCTCGACGCAGAGCGACTTGGCTTTCCGGGAGAGGAAGCCCTGAGACATGAGATCCTGGAACACGGCGGAGTAGAAATGGACGGCCTTGATCCAGTCCTTGCTAGTGTAGAGATCGGGCTTCGTGGACCCCGCCAAAATCGACGGAACGGCTTCATTTCTTACAGCGATGGCCGTACCGCCAGTATTCGCTATAACGAAGTTGAGATTTTCCGGGAGAGAGAAGAAGCAGAAGTCCCCGAGCTCGCACGACTCGCCGGTGACGGTGACGACGTAGGCGAAGCGACAGAGCACGATCAAAACGCCGAACAAAAACAACCGTACAAAAACGTTCTTCAGTAGGCCTGGCTTTCCTGCTGCGGCGGCACCGGGTTCCATCTCTGCAAAAGATAAACCTTTTTCTCTACAAAAAATTGGAAAACAAAAAAAGAATATTTTTCTATCTGTTTTCGGAATCGAAATCTAAAAATAAATTGAATTTGTATAAATTTAAAGAAATCGTATTGGGGGTTTTGGTTTAGCGGGAGCAGAATCGGGAGGAGGTGTGGTTGCCGCCGATAAGGGCTGGTGGTTTTAAGAGGGAGTTACAGATCTTGGAGATGTGAGGCGAAGGAGAAGCCATGGCTGGTAAAAACTTTATTTCTGTTTCGGCATGCTCTCTCTCTCTCTCTCTCTCTCTCTGAAACTGGGAAAACTGAAAAAGACTGCGTAAGAGTGTTAGAGAAGAAGGTGTAGGGGAGATAAAGGGGGTAGAGAATGACGCGGCCGCTCTCGCAAGTTTGGTGACCGGGAGAGCCGGTTTGGCACGCGTGATAAGAAGATGCGAGAATGGCGTTATATTCCCAAGAATATAAAGTGGGGCTTTACGATGGCGCTTGCTGAAACTTGAAATGACGACATTGCCATGCCGGCTTGCACAGTTGCACGTTGAATTGAGAAAACGGCTTTACCCGAATTACTCTCCAAATTGCAGCATTAGGTGGAAAACCTAATTAAATTGTCACAGCTTATTTTGTACTTTTAGTTAAGAGTGTTGTTATTGTCTCGTTCCTTCTTAACTTTTCCCTAACTACTCAATTAGTGTGACAGTTCCTCCCTCCCTTTTTGTTTAGGAAATAGTTCACTCGCTTTTTGTTAAAGGGCGATTGTTCCGTTAGTTGATTTAGAAAGAATTCAAAATGAGTAAACAAGAAATGGTATTAGATGATTGAGTAGATAAGGTTGGATAGATTTTTTACTGTGTTCAGAACACGAGTTAGTACAATACGTGTTATTATATAAGTGATGTGATATTTGTATTAAAAGTTTAACAACTTAAGAAATAAATTTTCCACCACTTATAGAATAACACGTGGTATACCACTTAAGTATTCCAAGCACAATGAAAAATTTCTCGTAAGGTTGATAGAAATACATTAAATATATATATATATATATTTATATAGCTCCATGTATTAATGAGTATCTTCCTTAATTCTAAGCTAAGGATGTGATAAATAATCAAAATCATGTACACGTGGCAGATTGGAATTTGGGGGAAATGCTGCATGTGATTACAATAAATGGATTTCTCGTTAAGTGAGTTGATTATATATAAATCCATGATTATTTACTCCCATAGCAAGTAACAATGTGTTTACTTATCAAAAAAGAAAAGTAATAATATGTTAAGAATCTTATTACTTATGTCATCAAGTTGATGCAGTATCAAATAAGATCATAGACCCTCATTTTGGCTTTTTACGTATTTGGACTAAGAGGAGTTTTTATTTTTTATTTTTTATTTTTTTAAATTGCTACGAGTTAGAAGAAAGTAGATATTAGAATAATTTGATGAGCAAATTTTAAAGATCGTTTTGTTTATAAAGAGACAAAAATTATAATAATAGTTCAACGATCAAACCTTTATGTATAGTTCAACCAGTCTAATCATTGTAACTCATCTTTATTTTTTTTCTGTCCAGTTTTTTGTGTTTTGGTATTGCCTTCTCCTCTTTGTTAACATAACATCGAGTCATCTACCTTCCTTGTAAAATAAAACTTAAAAATATTCCAAGGGCATGAATAAAATTTTGCCTTATCAAGGGGTATTAATTTACATAAACAAACCTCAATGTTCTCATAATTACCGGATCAGCCGGTCACCGCATCCCCACAAAGCTTGTTGGGGGCACTACACACGGGTAGCATACCATGCTGACGGTGGGTGCACAGAACACCGCACTAGCCGTTGTTGTGAACTTTTTCTGTTTTCGTGAATGTCCTTTTCCTGTCCATGTTAATAAGTCATGCAAAAATTGATACGCTTAACTGATTAGACTTGAGAAATGAGAAACGAGTGATGTTTGTGTCATTTACGCGTCATACTTATTATCTTAACAAGTTTTTAACGTAATTCGTTAACAATCTAACTCGTTAATAAATTCTTAACGAGTGACCAGAATAGTTTTGTTTACTTGTTAAACATCAAAGGCAGAAGGAACAACTGCAGCGCTGACACAAGAATATAACAACTCAACTCGTTGAGTTTACCCAAAATTTGCTATTTTCGTTTTGTTTTGCGTTAAGTTGATTAGTGGTGCAAGAACTTGTCAGGTTTTTCAGTCTAATAGGCTCTATCCATTATGTAATTCAAACCATTCTCGAGGCTTTGTTTGCCTCGCCGGGTCCATAAGCGTTTTTTATCTTGCAATCTGGATTAGTGGATTGGGGTAGGACCGTCTCCGAAGCATACCCATCCTCCGGATCCTTCTTCTTTACGGTTTGAGTTGGCATCCTAGCTTCCCTGGCGCTGGTAACCGGCAACTTCAAAGTCGTCTGGAACAACGAACTCTGCTCGTCATTCTGAAAAATAGGATGCGTAGAAGTTCTCCAGAAACAAGCAGAAAAAATGAAGAAGAAGAAGCAGGATTGAAGAAGAAGAAGAAGAATTGAAGAAGTTTGAAGACGAAGAGGAAGCAGAAGCAAAACTGAAGAGATGAAAGAAGAAGAAGGATCCGGAGAGGATCCTCCCTAGTGGATTGGCCGAGCCAATAAAAATGATTGTAGCCCTTGTGTTGGAGTTTGTAGTTTACCCATGTATGAGGTTAAGTGATATCAAAATATAGATATATAAGTGGGAGTCTGTAAGTTTTATTATCGTGAATCATAGGGAATGAGCTAGGTTTTGCATGTCAGTACATTTTATTATTCTAAACTACTATAAGGAGAGAAGCAATATTTGAACCCCACACAGAAGCGTTTGAAGAAGAAAATCGTAATTAGCAAGATAATCCATCGTTTTTTTGGTATGTCAGTTAACTTGAAACAACATCCACAACAATACCTATGACTGGAGGAGCAATATTTGATCCTCGAGGGAGTGTTTGGAAAAGAAGTAGTCCTAATTACCAAGACAATATGTTAATTTTTTATATGTCAAATAGCTTAAAACGACGTCCACAACAATACTTATGCCGGGAGGAGTGATATTTGAACCCCATGCAAAAGTGTTTGAAGAAGGAATCCTAATTACTAAGACAATCCACCTTCTTTTTTATTTATTTATTTTTTATGTCAGTTAGCTTGAAAAAACGTCCACAACGAAAGGAGCAATATTTAAACTCCACGCGAAAGCGTTTGAAAGAAAAAGTTCTAATTACTAAGACAATCTACTATTTTTGTCAAATAGGTTGAACAACGTCCGCAGCAATACTAATGCCACATCAGCTCCAATACGTTAGGTGTAGTGGTTATACGACACGTAGTTTGGTAGACAATCAGCTGGGAGATGAGGCCTTTATGAATATGAGCTGGCAACGGTGTGAAAGGTGTATTAGGGATGACGATACGGATTCTCTTTGTGGGATCCTCACATCACGATCGTTTATCGTATATCGTGCGATCAATTTTCGTAAAGTGATATTTGTGTTTAAATTTAAATAAATAAATTCAAAATGATTTCTTATTACACGATGTAAAATAAACTAGTTAAATATAAGGATTCTGAGGATCTTCACAATTTGAATCCAAATGAGATCCAAATCCAGGTATTAGTGATACGTGTAATACATGGGTGGTCAGGATGTTTCCACGGCAACGGTGATGGCGTAGATAGGAAGTTGGTGCACCGTGTAAGTTGTGGGTCATGCAAAATAAAAAGAGCCCAAAAGAGCAAAAGAATGAGAGGAGGCCTGCATGTCGTATTAAGTGCAGTGTAGCCAACGCCGGAATCAACGCCCTCACTGACTCGTCGTTTCCCCACACCCCATCTAACTTCTATTATTTCCTTTGTTTTGGTTGACAACCCTTCTATCAAGTTATGATTGTAGCAACTGTAATTTCATGGAATTTTTTAGCATGCTCAAAGGTGCTCTATACATTGTAATTCAGTTTTTGTTTATGAATTCTAGAGCGTAGAGGGGAAGCTTGGTAAGGCCACATAATAGACAATTTAATTTGATATCGAATTCACCATTCACGAGATTCAAACTTAAGACCTCTCACTTTCAAGTGAAGAGGAATACTACAAGATCATAGTACTAAGTGATTGACATAAAATATTATGAAGTTTAATAAAATTTTCGATAATTTTGTTGTTTGGGACATTAATTCGCGTACTGAATTTTGTGTCTTGTAAGGAATCGTAATCTTTCAGTTTAACCGACTAATTATATAGGGAATTGTTATTAACACTCCAAAAATCTCATTATGCATTCCAAACTTTATATATTAGAAAATAAAAATACAATTATGAGAAACGTAAAATGAAATTTTTGAAGTACCAATAACATTTTCCATTATATATTGATCTAGTTATACTTCTCAGTCTAATATAAAAAAAAAATTCTCCGACGAATCTGCACTACTCACTCTTTTATGTTGGACCAAGTATAGTCGTTTCATTTTATTTTATTTAAAATAAGTTGTAGAGTTATCATCAAGTTTGACCCAAAAAGCTAAACAATTATTAACATCCATGCTAAAGTTAGCATTGGAGAAGGTACGTATATTTTATGTGCCCTTTTCAAATTGTAACTCATCATTCGCTGTCTTTCCTTTATTTTCATATAAGTAGGTAGATTATATTCATAAACAACCTTCCAAATATGACAATTTGATTCAACATTAAATTAAATATTTACATCACATAAACAAACCACTGAGTAATATATCATTTTAGTTTTCGCAAGTGTAGTTGCTATGCTTGTTTGGTGCTAGTTTCAAATTGAACTGGATAATTCATTTTGACCCGTTATTTATTAAATTGAGATTAATTTTGTCATTTTGACCTTATTTGATAGATATTTTTCACAAAATGATCAAAATGATTGATGGTGAACAATCACAGGGACCACTCTTATCGATTTCAAATCTCAGGAGCCAGAGTAAAGAGTTATGTCGATCTCATGAACTATTTTGATCAAAATACCTGTAATATATGAGTTTAAAAGTAGAGGCAACTAATTTTTCCTTTGTGGGATCAAAAGAGATAAGATTTCTTAATGCATAATTCAATTTTACTTTTTAAGTTGGACACAATATCTTTATTTTCCCTTTCTAACATATTTTTAATGTAGCCATTCAGTATTTCAGTTTAGTAGTATTCTTCTCCATTTGGAAGTGAGAGGTCTTAGGTTCGAATTTCGTGAATGACGAATTTAATATCAAATTAGACTGTCCATTGTATAGATGAGCTGAAATCCTTCTCCCCTGAATGTAAAAATATCGATATACTAAAAAAAAAAAAAAA